AGTGACATTTCTGTAAATAGACATTCCATAAGTGGTATTTTGCAAATGTGCACATAAAAATGACATTTTTGTAATTACCTCTTTTAAAAAAAATCAGAAAATTTTTTGTATTAAAAAAAAACAATAATGTAAGAAGAGAAATAAACATCCGACCTCATGAAGTAATAAATTCAGTGGTTTTATGATATAATACTACAACATCTTTTGCAAATAGGAGCTGATATACTACGCTACGTATCATTTCTGGAATAATGGTATCTCTATATCTCTAGTCGTCTATGACTAATATATAATTCTGTTTTGGTAATTGAACATGATATATGTTTATTAATTTTTCAGAAAAACGTCGGTAGCTTTTAATTATGCATGTAATGTACTGGATGTCTTTTAGCATTTTAAATTGATAAAATTACAAAAACTAATCTAATCTAAGTTTGTAATAAGACAAAACATTTAGCCCATGTAGTGTAATTGACGACGAGTTTCAAAGATCAGTCGTTACTTACTGATTAATTAATTAATTAGAGATAAAATTAAAAAAAAAAATAGTGTTTCCTCATCATCTGGATCAAAATTAAGGCGATTTATACATGATTTACGTAAAAGAGGCGTGACAAATTCAATGTTTGAACTTGTAAGGTTATGTATGTATAATATAGATAGTGTGGATTATTAAAAAAAGATATAATAAAATGGAGACTTTCTTAATAATGTTTGATACATAATGATATGATTAAGAATATATTTGACTTTGTATTGAACCATGCCACATGTAACAGAGGCTCTCTGGCATGATTGGATACTTTGCTGGATTTACGCTACAGTACGACGTATATACAGCAAAGCAACCGTTTTTACCCACTAACTGCTTGACAGCTCACCAAAAACTCCATTATTCTGCTGGTGTACTCTACACCAGAAGCAGGTGATTAAAACCAACATTCTTCTCCTTTTTTTTGCTTCCCCGTTAACTGAGCCCCAAACTTTCTTAAGTATCATACAATCACCCCAATTGTTTTTACTCTCTTAGATTTAAGCATTCGGTTTTCAATATTATCAAATTGTTGCTTCTACTAGATATTGGAAAACTGTCTTAGAGGATTGTCTCTGATCCAGCTTTTATATTGATTTAAATTAAGATTTTCATTTGTAAAATAGAAAAACCAAATGTAAATCAAATATTATATGGTTTGAATTCAATATTTTTTA